CATCTCTAAAACGTGTTTCTCTGCCTCTATTTAAAGATACATAAAAGGATTCTCAGAGGAACTAGCAACAAGTGTACTTACGGGTCCCGAAGTATTTAGAATGTATTAAACACTAACCTTTAAAGACTGAGAACATAATAGATCATTTAAGATGTGATGAAGAGCCAGTAACCTGTACTGCAGGGTAATATAATGCCTGTGCTCTGAGGTAATTATTCCAAAGTAACTTCTTGTTCATTAAGGTGGCTTGCAGCCACTTTCCTTCTGGCCAAGGTCATTTCTATTGTCCAGGATACTGTCTTTGAATTTTAAAAGAAGCTGACAGACCATGGGTAGAAATATTAGGAGGGCAAGAGTTAACAGTGAAGAATTTTGAAAATCATTCTGCTGGAGAGGCAGGTATAACTAGAATTTCTCTAGACTCATCACTAGAACATTCGTATATACCCATGGCTTACAGCAAGCGTATTTTTGTTTAAAAATAAATTTAAAGTATTTTCCCAAAAGATAGCATTGTATGGCAGTTCTTATTTCTCAAGGTTATTTTTACACTGAAATTAGTTAACCAGCTTTTTGAGTTTCTTCACCTGACAACTGAAAATCATTTTGAAAGCTAGGGGAGTGAATTACAGCTCCATGTGCATTTTTTGTCTTGTAGTTATGGGTTTGTGTGTGTGTGTGTGTGTGTTTTAATTTTTGAGTGTCTTTTCATACTTGTGTGTCCTGGGAAGCTTTGCTGGATATATTCACAAATTTATTTAGCAGAGCTTAGTTATGTTTTAATTAGAAAATAAATGTGATATTACCTGTTATTGGAAGTGGGCATTTTTTCTATTTTTATATCATGGTTAGATTTTGATGGAGATTTAGGAAACAACCCAGGCATCTTCACATGAATAAAGGAATTAGAATCATCTTTTTTTTTCTTGGTCTCAACTTAGGGAAATCCATATGTACCCCTGCTGAATGGCCATTGATTAAAGAGGGATGACTTCAGAGATTACTGTATGGACATTACTTCACTTGGATAGGGGAGATATTATCCATGCTTCTGTAGAGAAAGCAATTGGACCTCCAAAATTTGCGATATATATGCTCGCACAGCTAGTAGATGACAACAAAGTTAGGGTAGGTCTTCTCAAATCTAATCTGTTTACATCTGCTGTCTTGTCTGCCACTTGAAGTATGCTGCTGCAGAATGGGAGTTAAAGACCATCTTGAGCAGCCTCCTCCTCCTTTGTTGAGGAGTTAGCATTGAATGAAAAACAATAGGTAGCATTGTGCCAGTATTGTTCAGATTAAAAAAAAAAGTGCATGTTTAAATTTTAAGTATGTCGAAGATAAGCTACATGAGCTGTGCCTTAAGATTTAGAACCCCAGCTCTGTGTGCATAAATAACAAAAGGAGGGCCTTTAATTTAACTTAAGAGGAAAAAAAAGATTGAGGACTAAGAGCTGTAAGAACTCTGTTGTTATCTAACTTGTTGCTGTAGGAGCCTGACCTCTGATCTTTATTGTCACATGGACCTTAAAAATAGTTCATGAGTTCAAGTCACAAAACTACTTTTGGGGAAAAAGTGTTGTAATTAGGATACTTAAAATTGTTATATACTGGGCCCTCCCTGGTGGCGCAGCGGGTTAAAGCACTGCACTGAGAAGCTAAAGCCACTTCCGCATGAGTTCGATTCCCGCCTGCCCTGGAGGCGACCACATGGTGTGGCAGACCTCTCCTGACCCACCCGCTGCTCCCCTCAGCAGTGTGCTTTGTCGATCTGCCTGTTCTGCTCCCCGCTCTGTCTCTGGTGAATCCTCTCACCCTCCGCATCTCTGGCCTGTACCCCAGTTCTGTACAAATAAATAAATATTTAAAAAAAAAATTGTTATATACTAAAATATTGTAAAATGTGTGATAGCATGCTATATAATTCACAGAACTTAATGTTTGTTTTCATCTCAGATGGAAGGAGCCCAAACATATAGATTATATAATTATGGCCTAAATTACTTAGGAAAGAAGTAGGTATATAGTTGTTGCAAAGGGAAGTTACTTTTATTTGATACTTCTTCATTTGTAGGTTCCCTCATTCCACAGATATTTACTAATAGCTTTACATTTGTTAAGTTCTTCTAGTTTGTAGTGGGAAATAAAGATGGGAATGACACTATACTAACACATCCTTTCTCTTTTGGTGCAGATATAAATTGGTATCATCTGTTTAATAAATGGTTTGCTTGTATATTTTGAGAGTCTGGGGGAAAATGCTATTATTTTGATCAGTATTTTGAGAAAATAACAAACGGTGCAGAGTACAACATTGAAGCATAATTGTGTTGGATGAGGGTTCCTGGTTGAAGCCGCATCCTGATAGATCTGTATTTGCCAGGAGAGGACATCCTTTCTAGCTGTATGAGGCATCCATCCAAGCTAGCAGAGACCCTGGTGTGTACACTTTATGTGGAGAGATGTATAAATGTTGTCTGTAATAAGAGTCACAAATTGTTAGATTAGATTAAAAATTGACAAGTAATAAAACTGTTTCCCTACCCTAGAGTAGTACAGATTTTGCAGTAAGAATGAATGAGTTGAATGTCATGTGAAAATGATCATGGTATATTGGATTGTGGGCTGAAATACAAGACCAGAATGTAAGTTTGAAACCAGGTTTTTGAACATTTTTTAATTGAAATAATATTGCATTATAATAGATAAACTTCAGTTCTGTATCATAAACCAACATCTTTATAAACAGTATTAAGCTCAATACTAAAGGTCCAGTTCTACCTTCACCATTAAAATTGATCTTTTGTAACGGATTTACAAAGGATCCCACATACTCCCTTCCCTTCTGGTAACCTTTAATTAGTTTTATCATCTGAAACGAGTTTTGAAGGACCTAGTACATTCTGCTCACAGTTGGAACTGGTTGCTCTCTCTATATAAAGAAGACTAGAAAGGAAAAGACATGTTTGAAAGGAATATGTTGTTGAAATTTTTTTGAGGCATATCTTACTATGCTGTCATAATTTAAAAAAGAATTATATTCTGGATTTCCAAAGAATATTTCAGTTTGTCACTATAATGTTAAAATACTGCATGAGTATTGTTTTTTAATTAGCATTTTTAGTAATAGTAAAAGCTCTTAATATGTAGGAGATGCGCTTTGAGACATAGGTTATATATACATGCATGAATATATCATCTGTGTAAGAGAGGTAGAATGGAGAGAGAGGTTGAAATGCAGTACCAGAATAAATGAAAGTTAAAGATCCGTTCCTCTTGTAGGCCAAGCCTGTGAAATTTGAATTCTTCTAGATGTGCTTTGAAGGGCTTGGAGTGAGTTCACTCTTTTCTGTTTAAATGTATGGAGACACAATCAAAGCAAATCTGGCCCAGTGCTATGTTATGTAGACATTGGCACAGACAGGGCCTGCTAACCAGCTTCAAGGCGTGCCTCCTCAATAGCATGCTTCCAAACCCTAAAAAGTAAACTGTGCCTAATAAGTTGGCTTCACTGAATGCCAAAGAAAATTTGCCTCATGAAGTGGAAATTCTGAAACAAGTTACATAATTCTGAGCGAGAAGGAACAGGAAGGCTTTCAAGATATATCCAAAAGGGGTGAATGGTATGTTTTAATCAGGCCTCAGTTGAGCAATATTTAGTTATATTTGGTGAGATCCAAGTAGTCTCATATATTTGAGAATGTTTAGAAACTGGATCAACCTTTAATTTTTTAAAAATTTATTTATTCACACAGAACTGGGGTACAGGTCAGAGGTGCAGGGGTGGTGAGAGTGTTCACCATAGTCAGAGTGGGGAGCAGAATGGGCAGATCGATGAAGTACACTGCTGAGGGGAGCAGAGGGCGAGACAGGCGAGGTCTGCTGCGCTGTGTGCATCACCTCGGCGTGGGGATCGAACTTACAGCCAGCTTTTCAGTGCTGCACTTTTACCCACTGTGCCACCAGAGGGCCGTTAATTTTTTTAATAAAGAGCATATATGATCATGATTTTTATTTTCTTTGTTGAGGTCACATAGGTTTACAACACTGTATGTGAGTCAGTGGTATGGAGTCACACCTCTGCAGGCACTGGAGTCCTCGCCATCGTCCATCCATGGACCCGCCGCCCTATGTATCCCATCCCTCGCCCTCCCACAAATAGCCTCGAAACACACATATTTAAAGTTACTATTAATTGTCCGACATGGAGCCACTAAAAAGTACTCATATGCATTATCCTATACATTTGTATCAGTTATTTACAGACAAAAGATGCCTCGCCCACCCACTCACGGAGAACAGTTTTACTTTAATCTCTCACTGAGATAAAAGTAACACAGTGCTCCAGGTGGGTTATTTATGAATTTCATTTCATATATTAAGTGACTGTTATTTATTCCCCCCAGTTTGAAATCTGTGATGAAATTAATTTAATTTTTGTTAAGGTGCCCTTGGTTTATAGCACTGCATATTATTTAGACATTGAAGCTACCACCTCTTAGATGTATGTTGCCACACCCTCCACCAAGACACCCATAGCTCCCTCCTTCCTTTCTCCACTATCTCTCCCGCTTCTCCCTCTCTGTAGCCTCGGTTTTACAGTCAGATTTCTAGAGTTTGGTTTTGGCTTGGGTATTCAATTTACTTTTGAACCAGTTTCTGCCATTTCACCCCACACATTTCATTCTTGTGCATCTCTTATACCTTCTTTTGCTCCCTCATCTTTGTCCATTTCTTCATTGTCTTGTGTCCACTCTAGGACCTAGTAGTGTCATAGCTGGTGTTCTTGTCTCTGGTCCCTTGTTTATCTGTTTTCCTGCTTACTTGGCTCCTAAAAAATAAGCAATGAAGGAAAAAATAGCTGCTGGCAATTTGTTCATGTTACACCACTAATCAAGATTTCAAAGAACTGCAGAATTAAGATTGTTTTCCCCAGTGGACGTATGTCATCAATGTGTAGAACCTTTTCTCAATATTGGTTTTTATGTGCTTTCTTGCAGGATCAATGTGACTCTAGAAACAAATGGATGAATGAATATCCATATGAAGAGGAAAACAGTAGAGGTTAGTCAACATTTCTAATTGTACTGAGAGTATTACTCTTTTAAACTTTATTTGGGGAAGCTTTTCTCTTTTGAACACTTCCTTGAGTGAAGATGATACAGAGGTCAACATTTAGACACCCACATCTCTCTGTAAAGTACAGCTTTTATTGATAACCCTTAAATATGAAGGTACTTCATATTTAAGGGGGGATAATCCTTCCCCCACCCACTGGTTTAGCTGTCATTAATTTCTAGAATTTAAGTTGTTGTTTTAAGATTATATATGTTAATGCATGTTAAAAATTTTACTACCACTTGATACAGTTGGTCCCTGTGACACAAGGGGAAAAAAAAAAAAACAGACTCAGCTCAATATATACATGTCAGTTCATAAAGCACTATTCTAGTTCCAGCACTGTGTGGTGTATGATTGCTCGGTGAGGTCAGCCTCTTTGCACTCACAGTCTTACTTTCCTCTGAGCAGTAGGAGTGTTAGGAACAGCTTTTAACTTTACTGTCTTTTCAGGTAACAACAACAATAATAAAAATCCGATATGGATTAGAGGGAAAAACAATTCTGTTAGTTTTATCAGTTAACAAATGCTGGAATCACTACTTTTGATAGTTATTTGAACATCCTTTCTTCTACATACTGGTTAGAATATAAAAATCAGGCATAATATTAAGAAAATTAGAATAAAAAAATCTTCTCCATTTCATAAGGTTTTTACACTGAGGAGAACCGGCTCCCAGACTCGCACCTTGTAATTTTTGATAGCTGTACAGCTCATACAGTCTCTTCATTGCCTTCCCATATTTACCTGCTATTTTAAATAAATCTACCCCATGTACTGTCTTCTTCTACTACCTCACTGTCACAGTTACTTAAAATTAATTTCTCAGGTTGTAGTTTTCATTTATATTTGTCTAGTTCCATCCTGAATGCTAAATTTGCCCCCTTTCTGGTATTTTTATCTGGGATAATTGGATACGTCTGGAGAGAATATTGAATGAGAGATAATCAGTAATCCCAAAGAGACTTATGTGTATACCAGTAATTTCTTTTATGACCTTGGTTGTACTTAAATGGATTGCATTTACTTTGTGAGAATTACTGCATGGTGTGCTTTTTTGTATGTGGATCAGTGGTGTGTCTGTAAACTGGGCTGATGGGTTGGATAGAAGTGCCTGCTCTATAGTATTTGTCAATTTTTGTGGTGTAAATAGGGTTGCCATGGCTGGTTTCAGTGGTTGACTTGAAAGAAACCTGTTAGTTGTAGAGATCAGTAGAATCATGTTAAGTTTATTATGACATAGAATGCAAGTATTATTTTTAAACTTTTTATTTAGCAGCTGCAAAATTGTGATAGTGAATATAGAACTAAGTCAATTTTAAGATAGGTCTCCAAAATGCCAGTTACAAATTTTTTTATTTGTTAATTTTTTTAAATTTTTTTAAAAGATTTATTTATTTATTCATATAGAACTGGGGTACAGGCCAGAGATGTGGAGGGTGAGAGGATTCACCAGAGACAGAGCGGGGAGCAGAACAGGCAGATCCACGAAGTACACTGCTGAGGGGAGCAGCGGGCGGGTCAGGAGAGGTCTGCCGCGCCATGTGGTCACCTCCGGGGCAGGCTGGGATCGAACTCATGTGGAAGTGGCTTTAGCTTCTTAGTGCTGTGTTTTAACCCCCTGCACCACCAGGGAGGGCCCGCCAGTTACAAATTTTAACAGTGCAGCTCTTTCTCTGTCTTTTAAATATTTTTGTTGCTACCTGTAGAGGTTATAAATCCTCTTCCTGAACATCATTGTACAGTCTGTATTTCAAGCACTTTAACATTTTCTAGTTGTCAAAGAGTATGAATTATATGATTGGATAGTAATTTCTCAGGAATCAATGCCTTCCATGTTCTCCACAGAGATATAAGACTTATAAATTAGATGGAAAAACCCAGTAGAATTTAATGGCTATCAGGAAAAAAGAAGTGTTTCTGTTGAATAGATGGAAGAATTATGTTGTAGTAAGGGAGTTTATACCCTCTGACAAATGAAAAAAAAAAAAAACTTAATAGGCTTTTTGTGTAGTGTGTAGTTATAATTTGTATTGTGGTTAAAGAATAAGACCTGCATATTTAAAATTGTTACTGTGACTTTAAAATCATTAATGTTGTATCAGATTTCTCAGGATTTGATGGGGGCTTTTTTCTATACTTGTCAATTTTTTTAGTTTCAATACGCTGAACAAAAACCCCTAATAATAAGTTGGCTTGCAAAATTCCTTAAAATTTCACAGTTGACTCGAATGAGCTGGAGATGAGCTAGCGCTGATAATTTCATTTATAAAGCAATCATTTTACGCATTCCTTAACACTACTCAGGCAAAGGCAGTAAATGTAAATTTTCTTGGCTTCTCTATACATAAAAATGGAAATGTTCTTCACTCATCATGTAAAATGTGTTTATCCTTTTCCTTATGTTAAATGTTGATATTATATTTATGTTTTCCTTCAGTTGTTATTCAAGTCTTATGTTTGAATGGATCATTGTTAGGTTTGTAAGTTTATACATTTTGACAAAGTCATTGTTCTAAAACTCATTTTATGACAGCTACAGAGAATTATTGTTTATTACACACCCTCGGGATAAACTCAAAGTATTATCATGATTGACTATAATATATCTGATTCATTCTAAATGTTTGTACCTCATAGCTTATGATTCATATGTTCATAAGTCTATAGAGGAGAGAACAATGTGTATTTCACTCAATGTGTTTGTCAAAGAGAATTTTTTCTTAACTTCTCTTTTTTGTAGTTTTGATCCGTATTTTCAGTTGCAGATGACTTAGGGCAGAGAATCCACTGACACCTGTTTTTAAGTCTTCTTGATCAGGTGCTGTTTGTTTCAACACAGGCAGTTTCAGGGAGAAAATTGCAAAAATGAAATTTTCTCTTTTCTATATTTCAAATGCATTGAGAATGTCACTATTAAGATGAAGTTTTAAAAATATCAGCAATGAAAATAACATCACTGTTCTCTGTGTAATGGAAAAGGGATTTGAATATGGCTCTGCAAGCTACATTTCTAGATTACCAGAAGTGATAAAATCTTGCCAAGAGCCAAAAATCACCATGTTGCGCCTTTTTGCCTAGGTTATAATATTTAAAAGCTTAAATAGCGTTTGTAAAATTTTTGTTGTGGCTATGCAAGTCTTAATTCAGTACATTCTTTGTCTGTCCTTTCCTTAAAACATGTTTACATTAAGTTCTTTCTGCTATGTTGCTCTTGAATTTGCCTCTTTGCTGTCTACAATTAGAAAATATATAACTCTCAAACGATCCCAGTTATCTGTCATTTCATGCTTGTAACTCTCATCAGAAAGTCTGGTCTACATACTCCTTAATATATTCCAGCAGTTGCTGTCATTGCAAAGACAGTGGCTTATTTGTGAATCTGGTTCCACAAACCTGGCTGGGCTCCATTTGTTTTCCAGGCATTTCAGTGTGTTTACCACGTGCTTCTCAGCAGCTGGTTTAGAGCAGGTGTTCAAAACATATGCATACATATACCCTGTCCAGCACATCAGAGCTCACATTTAAACTTTTGCTATGTGACTACCTCCTATGAACAGCTGCTTATACCGTCTAGCATTATTTGCAGTGGTTGGAGTTAAAGTCTGACATTTGGAAACCAAGAAGACAGTAGTAGCTATTCTGAGAAAACTTTAGTTTCCTATGAAAAATACTTGTTTTGTAATTGTGGAAAAATCCTTGTATGTATGTGTATGTGTATATGTATATATAGATGAGAAAAAGATATGGCTATAGATAGAATGTGGTTACTTTAAATTGCCTTTTTACAAAGTTCCAAGACTGACTCTTCACTCCGGATAGTAAAATTAACAGCAGCAATTCAAACTTTTTCCTTTTGAACCGAGCAGGCAAGGCTGCTTAGGAAACTGCAATGGATGTAGATGTTGTGTTGTCAGTGCTTCATATTCTTTATATAGAGTAACTGCCCAGACAGTAAGCATGGAATCAAGAAAGAACAGTCTTGGCTCCACAATTACATGTATGCATGCTCTTAGACCTATGACTTCTCTTTGCATCTAAATTTTCTCAACTGCCGAGTGAAACTAATAACACCTACCTATTTCAGGAGTTGTTAGGGGGCGATGGGGGAGTGAAAGAAAATATGAGATATTTGTGAAAACAATTTAAAACTAAAGGTGTGGGTGACATTGCTACTATTATTTTTATAACCTAAGACGGAGATTTCTGATTTTATTGTATAACTTCAAGTCACAGCATCAAATATTTTCAGAACTGGAAGCATTCCCTAAGACCCTTGATTCTAACACGTTTGGTGAGGGGCTACCTTCTGTTAAGAACTGGTTGGTTATTTTAGCATTGTATTGAGTTCCCGTTGAGATTATTTTTTGCGTGTGGTGATTGATCTTTTCCCAGGCATCTATATTTATATTAAAAGTTCCTCTTTTTATCAAACCAAATCAGTAGATTTTATAATGATAATAAGCTAAAAGGTATTTATATGTTCATGAATCACTTCACCTTTGGGTGTCTAATTTTGCCTTTTTTTGGAAAATGGGAACAAAATGATATACAGGGAAATGACATACAGGGATTATACATTTATTAAAGTATAGTGATGGCTTTATTGTTTGAAAAGATGATCCACAGCTCATTTTAAAATCTTTCAAGCATGCAAAGCCACATCACCTCCCTGCTTTCATACCTGTTAACATTTGGTAATTATTCATGTAGCATTTCTCCATCCACATATACAAGTACAAACAGCTTTACAAAAACAGGATCATATTTGTGTTTCTAATGAAGTTATATTTTCAATTTTCTTCCGTTATGCAAGAAATAAAAACTGAATTTTAACTGGAGGAATTTTTCATTTCAAGTTAATGTATTTTCACCAGAATGGCTCTATTACTTAAGAATTATGGAAAAAGAAACAACTGAATAGTGACTAAATTTAACTTTAAGC